CCCCAAAACCCCAAAACCCCAAAACCCCAAAACTATAAAATTCCTTAAAAAAATGGATATCTCCACTGTACCCCCCTAAAACCTCTAACCCTCTTATAGATTTTCACCATAAGACAGAACGCTTATACTCTAGAAGACTCTAAACTACTAGAATTTGTAGAAGGGGTCAAGACAGGTAAGGATTTTGGAGGAGATTTTAGAGGGCAAGGGAGAAGAGGTGCTGAAGATGTTGGTGATGGATGAAGTGGGGTATGGGGGATATGATGTGGACAGATGTGAAGAGGTGTATGCAGAGATGGGAGAGGGGATGGTGATGGTGTATTTGTTTAAGATATTTGAGGAAGAAGGGAATTTGCAGAGGTCGAAGGAGATTTTTGATGCTGTGTTTTTGCAGAAGGATTCTGAGGAGAATAGGTTTGTGAAGATTAGTATTTTGGGGAATCTAAGGGCGGATAATGTTGATGTGTATGAGGATGGGTGTCAGAGTGTGGTTTCGCAGATTGATTCTTTAGCAGAGTCTCAAGAGTTTTCGAAGGAAGAAACTCTTGAGATAGAATACCTTAAGCTCAAGCTTGTGGCTGAATACAAGAGCGTGTATGATACTAAAGAAGGTATTTGCTCAATGGTAGACTTAACTGAATTTGCTTTAAATTCTGAGAATCCTTACTATATTCTCAATGCTTGTAAGCTATTACCAAAGTTCATTAATGATAACACTGAGAGAGTAAAAGATCTCATCAAACAGATAAAGGAGGTCCTTTCAAAACTAATACCTGATTTGAAAATAGATGAGCATGTTAAGTTTTATCATGCACAAGTTCTAGATATCCTTCTTCTGCTTCAAGAAGACAAACCTCTGGAAATTGTAAAGAAGATTATGCCACTCTTAAAGCTAATTAATGATTCAAAAATGGACTTTAGTAAAGAGATCAAGTTCAAGATTACCCTAAACACGTACCTATTCTCAAGCAATCCTATGGGAGCCAACAGTGAGGAGATAATGAAGATAAAGAACTCATTTCTGAATTATTTGAAGTATTTAGACACAGAGAAAGCCTATATGATCCATTATATTGGTGTTGACATCTTTAATATCCTGGAACAAGTCTTTGGACTTGTGGGTGTCTCATTTGACTCTAGTAAGAAATTTGATCTGGAGAAATTTTACCGAGACTATGGTAAAACATATGTCTTCTTCATTTCTCATCTCGAGGTTTGTCAAGGAGATCAATTTGAAGAAATCTTTCCAAGAGCAATTGAATATGCTCAAGAAGCAGGATTTGAAGAGTACCATTCATATACTCTTTCATTAAAATTACAAAAGCTTACATTTGAACTTGGAAAATGTAGCCACGAGATGTTGGAGCCAATGGCTCAGGAAATAATAAAACACGTTGAATCTTTTAAAAAGGTTCCAAAACTTTCAAAAGCTATTGTAGAGAGATGCCAACAAAGTTACGGAGTACTTGTAAATCTACTATCTCTTATGAATAAACTTGAGCAATGGAGTAAATATGCTTACGAATATCTAACCTTCTCGTTAGAAATAGGCGCAATTCTCCCAGATATGCCTTCTCTTCTAAATAAATTGATGATTCATTTTACATCAAACCACGAGATTACTCGAGGAACAAAGCTAGTCCAGATGTGGGTCAAACATCACCATCCTGGACCTGATGAAAAGCTTACAATGGAATTTTACGAAGCTCTATTGACCTGCCAAAAGTTTTATCAAAGCATTGACAACAAAAGAATGCTCAGACATTTCTCTCTAATAACTCATAAATGAGCTATTGACTTATTTGGAGAAACATCTTCACAAGTATTCGAATCCTTAATGAACATTTCTGTCATAAATATTGAGGAAAAACAGTTTGAAGAAGCCTTTAGCTCTTTGCAGCAATGTGAACAACTCTCGGAGGTATTTTAGACCTCACCATGTATATAGACCCTCTTCAGATCCTCTACTAATCCTAAGACTCCAGCTATTCTTGGCTTGATGGCAAGAGCCAAGTATGAATCAGGTGTCCAAATTGCACTGTAAGTCTACAATTTTTCTTGAAATTCTTTGAAGGAATTTAAAATTTTTTAGGATTTTAGTAAAATTTTAAGTGGGATAGTCAAGATGTGGGTGAATTACAAAGGGTAGATGATGTTTTGGGGAAAGATTTGTGGAAATTTTTGAGAAAAGGATTTGAAGTGAGGATAATTATGTGATAGAATGTTTATGACTGGATTTAAGAAAAAATTTGCTAGAGAATGTTTATCATATACGAATAAAAATACATAACACATGAAAAAAACAAATAGCGTGAATCATTACCACTATTCTAACTCTTTCTTCTAAACTCCCATAACCCCACTACACCTCCATCCCTACACTTCCTCTTCAACCCTCACCTCCCTCTAGACATGCTCCTTCAACCCCCTCTACACCCAACTCAGGACCTCAAGCCTATAAAAACTGCATTAAAGAAGCAAAAGAGGTTCTAGAAAGAGCTCTTGAGGCAGAAGAGAAGGTCAATTCGAAGACTTCACAGTATTACAAAGAGCTTTTCTCATTCAAAGAGAAGATTTGTGGAAAGCAGGATAAATCACAAAGAAAGGGACTCAAAAAAGACAACCCAAAGAAGCAAACATTGTTAGAAAGATATTTGCCTAATAATCCTCTCCAAGTGGGAATAATCCTAGCCACTATTTCCGTAATAGGAGGCACAATTTACCTGGCAAAAAGAAGAAAAGATTAGTAATACAGATATTATTATCTTTCAATAGCATATTAAATCTCCGGGGTTTTGGGGTTTTGGGGTTTTGGGGTTTTGGGG